CCTCAGCAATATTCCAACTACATGACGGTTGTCTGTAAATAATCAAGTCTGGTCCAGACAATGCAGTGATGGACATCATGAGTATCGATTTACGCATTTGGAATACGGTGATATACATAAACAATGTCAGTGAGCCTGACCACCCGATCTCGTTAGTCGCCTCTTACGACACGCATGAACATAAAATCTAAATGGATCTTCACGGTTGAAACTTCTGGGAAGCAAAAGCAAATCGAATACTGTTTCTTTGTCAAGGCATTAAAATGTTATTTGTCGAATGTATCCGATTTCGCAGACGTTAGTATTCTGTAACAGATGAAAGTGTGAATTAAAACAGGACATGTTTATTTAAGCACGCGTTTAGCTTGGTACCGAACGTCATCTGGACAACTTTATTTTGATGTAGGATTTTATCACGATTGATGATCCCAACGTGCGTTCGATTGTTAAAATCTATGTCAACCGAGGTTACATTTCTGGCAACATTTTCTGGTTGACTAGATTAAACCAGAGTTAACCAGTGTTAGGAAAGTTACCGAAATAACAACGTCGCATAAAATGCATCCTTCGATATAACACAAAATGGCTACACGCCTGTGAGATTTTTGTTTGTTTGTTGTTCAACGCCGCACTGTTCCAGCTATATGACGGCGTTCTGTAAATAATAGAGTATGGACCAGACAATCCAGTGATTGACATCATGAGCATCGATCTACACAGGCTTACAATAATTTCATTGCTTGACAAAACTGCCATTGTACTTTTTCTATTTAAAGCATGTAAAACGACAAGAATATTCAAAATAACGAGTAGAACATTAAACAGAGATATAAAATTATCATCAAAGTTGCATTATTGATTTAAAAGTATTTAAATACAAAATCGAAATCTAAATTTCCATGACGCATATCAGAATACATAATTTTATTATATAGTATCAGTACCTGGTTAATTATATTCATTAAATGTTTGTATTTATGGTTTAATCAATAAATGAAACTAATTAACTTTAACGATGACGTCACTTAGAGGCTGCTCACCTAACTACCGTTCCCCGGGGGTTTATTGGGTATTGGCAACTTTGGTCATCCGAAGCATGACGTAAATCATTTAACATGTGCTGATATTGGTCAACACGGGTTCAGTTTGGTCGTCCAGTGTTTTGAAATCGAACGCAAGCCCAGAGAGAGGTTACGGGTGACGACGCCACAATAGCTCTCATGATGCATTGTTGGACAGATTCAATTAAGAGACTGCGCGGTCCGCGGATATTTTATGTGCGCTTCAAAATGTAAAGCATCCGCGAACGTTACTCGTTTGAGAGCGCACAAGACTTTGTTTTATTTGAAGATAAGACATAAATTGTCTGTACAATTGACGCCGAGTTTTGCAGTGATGTTAAAAACATAAGTATAGTAAAAACATCAAAAGGTTTTTCAAGAAAATAGTGTCATCATACTTGTTAAGTATAAGACAAAAAAAAATAATAACTAGTTCCTCGCTCAATTTAACGACAATACTTCGCAGTAAAATAAAAAGCACGTTGCTTTTCTATTGGGTTATATCTCCGGAACAGTTTACATAACAGCATTACCTAGAGTCACTGGAAATCTGACGTGTCTGGATCGGGTCAATTTGACTCGCCATGAAACAAACTCCGACCCCAGGCCACCAGTCTCGAGAAGGAAATGAATGCATAGAAGATAAGTTTCAAATAGCCTATCTGTGCCATAGTGAGTGAGTGAGTGAGTGAGTGAGTGAGTGAGTGAGTGAGTGAGTGAGTGAGTGAGTGAGTGAGTGAGTGAGTGAGTGAGTGAGTGAGTGAGTGAGTGAGTGAGTGAGTGAGTGAGGGAGGGAGGGAGGGAGGGAGGGAGTGAGTGAGTGAGTGAGTGAGTGAGTGAGTGAGTGAGTGAGGGAGGGAGTGAGGGAGGGAGGGAGGGAGGGAGGGAGGGAGGGAGGAATATTCCAGCAATATCATGACGGGAGACGCCAAAAATGGGCTTCACATAATGTACCCATGTCGGGAATCGAACCCGGGTCTTCGGCGTGACGAGCGAACGCTTTAACCACTAGGCTCCCAACATTTTGAGTGTTGGACGTAAATCTTCTAGATACATATATCTACGGCTTAAGTAATCATGGGTGCTCATTGATGTTGATATACTACATACTTCGGCTGGCTACTTCATACTTCAGCTGGCTACTACTACGTACTTCAGCTGGCTACTACTACATACTTCAGCTGGCTACTACTACATACTACAGCTGGCTACAACTACATACACACATGTACTTCAGCTGGCTACTACTACATACTTCAGCTGGCTACTACTACATACTTCGGCTGGCTACTTCATACTTCAGCTGGCTACTACTTCATACTTCAGCTAGCTACTACTACGTACTTCAGCTAGCTACTACTACATACTTCAGCTGGCTACTACTACATACTTCGACTGGCTGCTTCATACTTCAGCTGGCTACAACTACATACTTCAGCTGGCTACTACATACTTCAGCTGGCTACTACTACGTACTTCAGCTAGCTACTACTACATACTTCAGCTGGCTACTACTACATACTTCGACTGGCTGCTTCATACTTCAGCTGGCTACAACTACATACTTCAGCTGGCTACTACATACTTCAGCTGGCTACTACTACATACTTCGACTGGCTGCTTCATACTTCAGCTGGCTACAACCACATACTTCAACTGGCTACTACATACTTCAACTGGCTACTACATACTTCAGCTGGCTACTACATACTTCAGCTGGCTACAACTACATACACACATGTACTTCAGCTGGCTACTACTACATACTTCAGCTGGCTACTACTACATACTTCAGCTACTACTACATACTTCAGCTGGCTACTACTACATACTACAGCTGGCTACAACTACATACACACATGTACTTCAGCTGGCTACTACTACATACTTCAGCTGGCTACTACTACATACACACATTTACTTCAGCTGGCTACTACTACATACTTCAGCTGGCTACTACTACATACTTCAGCTGGCTACTACTACATACTACAGCTGGCTACTACTACATACTTCAGCTGGCTACAACTGCATACACACATGTACTTCAGCTGGCTACTACTACATACTTCAGCTGGCTACAACTACATACACACATGTACTTCAGCTGGCTACTACTACATATCTACAGCTGGCTACAACTACATACACACATGTACTTCAGCTGGCTACTACTACATACTTCAGCTGGCTACTACTATATACTTCAGCTGCTACTACAAACTTCAGCTGGCTACTACTACATACTTCAGCTGCTACTACAAACTTCAGCTGGCTACAACTACATACACACATGTACTTCAGCTGGCTACTACTACATACTTCAGCTGGCTACTACTACATAGTTCAGCTGGCTACTACTACATACTACAGCTGGCTACTACTACATACTTCAGCTGGCTACTACTACATACTTCAGCTGGCTACTACTACATACTACAGCTGGCTACTACTACATACTTCAGCTGGCTACTACTACATACTTCAGCTGGCTACTACTACATACTTCAGCTGGCTACTACTACATACTTCGACTGGCTGCTTCATACTTCAGCTGGCTACAACTACATACTTCAACTGGCTACTACATACTTCAACTGGCTACTACATACTTCAGCTGGCTACTACTACATACTACAGCTGGCTACAACTACATACACACATGTACTTCAGCTGGCTACTACTACATACTTCAGCTGGCCACTACTACATACTTCAGCTGGCTACTTCATACTTCAGCTGGCTACTACTTCATACTTCAGCTGGCTACTACTATATACTTCAGCTGGCTACTACTACATACTACAGCTGGCTACTACTACATACTTCAGCTGGCTACAACTACATACACACATGTACTTCAGCTGGCTACTACTACATACTTCAGCTGGCTACAACTACATACACACATGTACTTCAGCTGGCTACTACTACATATCTACAGCTGGCTACAACTACATACACACATGTACTTTAGCTGGCTGCTACTACATACTTCAGCTGGCTACTACTAAATACTTCAGCTGCTACTACAAACTTCAGCTGGCTACTACTACATACTTCAGCTACTACTACAAACTTCAGCTGGCTACAACTACATACACACATGTACTTCAGCTGGCTACTACTACATAGTTCAGCTGGCTACTACTACATACTTCAGCTGGCTACTACTACATACTACAGCTGGCTACTACTACATACTTCAGCTGGCTACAACTACATACACACATGTACTTCAGCTGGCTACTACTACATATCTACAGCTGGCTACAACTACATACACACATGTACTTCAGCTGGCTACTACTACATACATCAGCTGGCTACTACTACATACTTCAGCTGCTACTACAAACTTCAGCTGGCTACTACTACATACTTCAGCTGGCTACTACAAACTTCAACTGGCTACTACATACTTCGGCTGGCTACTACTACATACTTCAGCTATCTGTAAACCTGTCTAGTACATACTTCATCTATATAATACGTAGATGTGTCTTGTACATACTTTATCTATATGTAAACCTATCTATAGCTAGTACATACTTCCTCTATCTGAAAACTAGCCTAGCACATAGTTCATCTATATGAAAACCAGTCCAGCACATACTTCATCTGTATGAAAACCTGCCTAGTACATACTTCATGTGTGTGTGTAGAAATGATACTTCAGCTATCTGTAAACCTACCCATACGTCTACCATGCTGTGTCTACACTGTATGTTTCAGAAATACACCTTACATCGTACATTTCAGGTGCATATTAACCTTCTGGATAAATACTTCAGAACTGTGTGAAACTACGTTTGGCTATTTTACTCATAAAAGTCAACTATATATGTTTGAGATACATAAAAAAAACAGCTTTGTGTCAATACATCAGATCCGTCGGGTAAACAACTTAAGTTCAAACGTGTTTTTTACCTGTTTCAGGCGTGTGTGTGTCCAAGTCCCTGCGCATCCCTCGGTCCGTCAACGAGACGACGTTCAGGAACATCGTGGAGGAATTGTTCAAGGACGACAACAACGCTCGGGCAGTCGTCATGTTCGTCAACGAGGACAACTGTCGGGACATCCTGAAGGCGTTGGTGAAGCTGAACAGGACGTCCCACCTCAACCTGCTGGCCAGCGATAGTTGGGGTGCCAAGATCCACCCGGTGTTCTCGCAGGAGGTGGCAGCGGAGGGCACCGTCACAATCCTCCCCAAGCGCCAGATAATTCCTGGTACAGTTTACCGTATTACTCACAATAACGCTGAAAGGGTCGTTGTCGCCCTGAAGCCTATGTCTTGTTTGTTTGTTGTTTAACGCCGCGCTCAGCAATATTCCAGCTATATGACGGCGGTCTGTAAAATAATCGAGTCTTGACCAGACAATCCAGTGATTGACACCGTGAGCATCGATCCTAGCAATTGGGATTGATGACATGTATCAACCAAGTCAGCGAGCCTGACCACCCGATCCCGTTAGTCGCCTTTTATGACAAGCACAGTCGCCTTTCACGGCAAGCATGGCTGAAGACCTATTCTACCCCGGATCTTCATGGGTCCGAAGCCTATGTCTGGTGTCCTCCGCCGTGATATTGCTGAAGCGTATGTCTGGTGTCCTCCGCCGTGATATTGCTGGAATATTGCTAAAGCGGCGTAAAATCATACTCACTCACTATAGTTTGTCCTGCGTAGACAGTGATAAACGAAAGGTATGTCCATTTTCCAAGATGTATGTGAATTGTGTTTGTTGTTTTACGCCGCAGTCAATAATCGTCAGATCGCTAAACCAGAGGTTGATACCTTGAACAATGTCCGACCACTTCGGGGTAGGACAACACGTATGCTGAGCACATCGACGCAATCTGAAAAAAATGTAAAATGGAACCCTATTAAACCGGATAGTACCGCCGTAGCAGTGTGTTTGTCCGCATAAACATGTGTCGTTAATGACGAAATGGAGTATGTCCATATATGTGTCCATTTTATTGACGTTCGCGACGTTGTAATCGTCCGGAAAATAGGGCGTCCTGGAAAGTAGGGTGTCCTGGTAAGTATTACCACCTTGAACATAGGTCGTCCTGGAAAGTAGGGCCTTCTGGAAAGATGGGTGTCCTGGTAAGTATTACCACCTTGAAAATAGGGCGTCCTGGAAAGTAGGGTGTCCTTGTAAGTATTTCCACCTTGAAAATAGGGCGTCCTGGAAAGTAGGGCGTCCTGGAAAGATGGGTGTCCTGTAAAATAGGGTGTCCTGGTAAGCATTGCGTCCTTGAAAAAAGGGCGTCCGGGGGATAGTAGGGCGTCCTGGAGAGAAAGGTGTCCCGGAAAGTCGGTTGTCCGTGTTAATAGGGTGTTCGTGAAAGTAGGGTGTCCGGAAAATACGGTGTCCGGACTGATAAGGTTTAATTGAATCTTGATGTTTGCAGAGTTCGATGAATACTTCCTGAACTTGAAACCAGAGAACAACACACGGAACCTGTGGTTTGAAGACTACTGGGAGGAGGTGTTTGACTGCAGCTTAAAACCCTCGGCGCTCAACAGGTGTGACGGTATGTATCCACCCAACGATATAACAACGTATATCCATCAGTTAATTAATGAAATTTATTAATGAAATGACCGTCTCCGTGGTCCAGTGGTAGAGCGTCCCCCCGGAGTGCGGAAGTACCGGGGTTCGATCCTCGGCCGCGTCATACCAAGCGACGTGAAACGATGGTACTTGTTACCCTGTCTGGCGCTCGGCAGCAAGGGACTAAAACAAGGACTGCTCGGCTCGGAATCAGTATACTGTGTCTGAGTGGGGTATTCATGTTAAACTGCGGCATGGTATCTCAGTGGGCTGGCACTATAAATCGGCATCAGTCCGGACTAGGACAAACAGCCATACACACACACACACACACACACACACACGTGAATGCACGTCGCTATATAAGTGGACGCCACGTTAAACCTAAATTCATCTAATCTCACCTCCTCGACCGATGTTTGTCACAGGTACCGAGAGTCTGAAAGATGGCCGCCTGGTCTACATCCAAGAGGGATTGGTTCAGTTTGTGATCGACTCCGTCTACGCCCTGGCCCACGCCGTGCAGGACATGCTACGGAGCAGGTGCTACCACCGGAACCTCAAGCTGTGTAAACACATCAACAAGCTGGCAGGCCAGGAACTCCTCTGGTTCATCAGGAATGTGTCTTTTACTGGTGAGAAATAGTAATTTTCATTCCACTTGTTATCTGAATGGCATGTCGCCGTCTTGTAAACAATCCTTACAAGTTGGTCTGCACACTCCGGCGCAGTGGTGACTTAGCATAACACCACTGCCACAGGCTAATTTGCATATACAATGACCTGAGTTTTCTCTTGTTTGTAAACAAACGCGCTTTTACAGAAATCAGAATAGAACGGACTAGTGAAAGTATTTGGGGGCGCTTTACATATTGTTTGGCATAAATATATAAATATGTTACTACAACTGCGACAGTGAGTTGCATGACAATACATATTTACACATCAGAGTGACCATATATCGCTAGCTCTGCGAAGGGATTCGATGACAGCACGTACAGTCGTACAACCAATGTAAACATTCGCTGTGCAGAGTTGCGTCCCTTGGGCACGCTAGAAACCTATGATTGTGGGTTCGAATCCCGGTTCGCCCCGATTATGTTTATAAGTTTGTCAGCACCATACCCATGCTCGTGGGTCTCACCACGTCTGAGACCTGCATCACTTCGGGCTTTCCTCCCGCATTAAGCTGACACGCCGCGATATAACTGGAATACTGTTAAAAGCGGCGTTAAACCCAACTCACTCACTCACTCACTCAGATATATGTAGTGACGTCATTGACAGACTGGAGTGTCGGACCGGGAGTGAAATAAAAGCGACAAGCCCTTTCCTTCATCACTGGAAGTCTCTGTTGAAAGCTATTGCAAGAGCGTGAATCTGCATGAGCTTATGAATCACTATTAAACCAGGAGATAAACCTACAGAGTTTTGAAGATTGAGGTGTCTAATTATAGATAAGATAACTCTAATTTAGAACCGAGCGCTTTAGATTGCGGATTGAGTTAATGCAAGTAATGCCATTAAACATAGGTCTGCTTAATCTAATTATTTTGATAATGAGGTGAGTGTTAACGTAAGAAAATCTATTACCATAGTCAGTGTTATTCTTTTCGACGGTTCATTGCGATTATACAGCACATAGCATTACTTATCAACCGATGATTCTCGACAGGACATAACAAGCTTAATTTAGAACTATAAACATATTGACACTGTATAACATCATAATATTACGACAAAACTCGCCTAATTTTCTCATTAAATAAATCAGACAGTTTCATAAAAGTGATACTGAGTTTAATCCACGTACTTTAATCTTTTTTATACATGTTATTGTTAAATTGAAAACGTGTCTGTTATTTTTTGCTTTTAACGAACTGATTCTATTTGAGATCAAACACTAAATATATTTTTGCATTGTGAGTGGAACAATCTCAGTTATTAAAGGATGAATAACCTGTTTGAGTAACAAAAGATTTTAGACTTTTGACTTTCGAGTGATTCCCGTGGTGTGTACATACTGGATATAAAACGGACATATGTTCCAGAAATTGTGTCAGCCAATATCATAAAATGATTTAACACATCTTAAAAGGATTTCATTTCGTATTATAAAAATCTAACGTACAGTTTACGAGTGCTTCATTGATACGAGTTGTCTCCCTTATACTGCCGTCTTCAGGGTAACATGTGTATGGCGATCTTGTGCACAATACAAACATGTTTTTCGTTCAATATTGATAACATATTTTTCTTAGTAATTCTAGTCATAATAATACTCAAGAGGTAGTGAGAGTTGTTTATTTGTTTATTATGTATTTCATTACAATAACGCGACACAATACCTAATCATCGATATCCTGTGCTTCATCGAACACCATATACTGCAGACACCCCTCACATCCCTCACATCCTACATGTAATTACACATCGGAAGTACACACATCCTCCTCTACGTACAGTTTTCAAAGTTTTCATCGGTGAAACATGGTAAACCACGTATGTACAATAAAATAGTAAAAAAGTAGTAATATTAAACAGGGAACTTGGGCCAAAGGAGTTAGTGACAACGACATTCATACGAGTTATCTCCCTTATACCAAACTCTGATGAAACGTCATTGTTTGGTTTGTTTGGTTGGTTGGTTTTGTCAGCAGTCTTCCAGATACATCACGGCGACATTTGAATTATCGAGTCGAGTCAACCAGTGTGTGTGTGTGCGTGCGTGCGTGCGTGCGTGTGTGCTCATGTGTGTGTGTGTGCTGTATGTGGTCGTGGTGTGTCTATGTTCACACTGGTTTGATGCATAGACGGACCACAATTAAACCACCCACGGACCACGGACCACGGACCACATACCAGATACATACATTTGGACCCTGCACATCCCACATGTAGACATCATGTGCTACTCATATATAGTACATGTATGCACATGTTCATTGCACACATCAGTTGTTGCACTGACTTGCAACAAACGTGCACGACATGGTACATTGACTTGCTACATTCAGACACTGCAACCCTCATTGCTCACACATCACATGATCCATATGCACCTTACACAGGAACACAGGAAGCAGCCAGACTTTCTGCGCCATAAAAATACCGAATATCACCTGATTCATGCCCCCTGTAATGGATTTGCATCCGACAAATGACCCCTCCATTCCGGACAAGACACCTCCATCCTATTGATGACACCTGCATCCCGCACATGACACCTCCATCCGACACAAAACACCTCTATCCCACACATAACACCCGAATCCCACACATGACACACCTCCATCCCACACATAACACCCGCATCCCTCACATGCCACCTGCACCCCACACATGACACCTCCATCCCACACATGATACCTCCACCCCACACGTAACACCTACATCCCACACACAACACCCGCATCCCACACGTGACACCTACATCCCACACATGACACCTGCATCCCACACATGATACCTCCACCCCACACGTAACACCTGCATCCCACACACAACACCCGCATCCCACACGTGACACCTACATCCCACACATGACACCTGCATCCCACACACAACACCCGCATCCCACACGTGACACCTACATCCCACACATATCACCTCCATCCCAGACATGAAACCTCTATTCCAGAAAACTTAGCTGCACTCGAGACCTTACACCTTCATCCTAAACATGACGCCTTCATCGAACGAATGACACCTACACCGAGAAATAACACCTGTCAAAGAGACATAAAACCTGTAACCCGACATGTCATGCGCATCGGAAACATTTTCGTGTAGTTGATTACGTTCCTACGATCTATGTACACTGTACAAATAGCCGTGGCGAGGTGAGGTAAAAGGTTTTTTTACGTCGCGTCAAAGATAATTGCACTTATATAGCGACGTGTGTGTGTGTGCGTACGTGCGTGCGTGCGTGCGTGTGTGTATGTGCGTGCGTGCGTGCGTGTGTGTGGCTGCTTGTACATGTCCGGACTAATGCCTATTTCATAGTGCTAGCCCACGGAGATACCATGCCCAAGTGTAACCTGAATACCCCACTGAGACACAGTTTTACTGACTCCGAGCCGACCAGTCCTTGTTTAAATGCTGAGCGCCAGGCAGGGTAACAACAAGTACCATTTTTAACGTTTTTAAGCGGACGCTCTACCACTAGACCACGGAGGCGGTCGTACACATAATAGATGTGTAGCTTTACGGCATGCCAGAACATATCTGATGACGGAGGTGGTTTGTTCCCGTTTACATAATAAAAAAGTATAGGCGTAAACAACAAGACAACGCCATCTAGACCCGACAGCTGGTTCCAGATCTCAAGTGTTGCTCGGCATGCGGAATAACAGAACACAAATAGCATGGGGCAGCAAGGCATATTGTAGAAACAATACATTCACAACTTAGATCCAATATAAATACATTAACAATATTCTTTTCGTATCAAATGTACTCTATGCCAATTTACTGAGGTTCACTAGTTTTTACGATGTCAACACCAATACACGTTGGCTGGTTTATAAGAAATTTCCTCAGTAACAATCTATATATATTGCAATGATAGATTTTCGTATTTGTTCATTGAAGAAACACATTTACAACAATAGTTCATTTCTGTCATGAGGCTATCCATTCGACTGCTAATCTGTTGACGTCTCAAGACATGGCATGGTAAGGATCCATTAGTGTCATGATTGGTATCGAGTCTGCAGGAGTCGTGTCTGTTTGATCACGCTAATTGCATGCATTGTTCAGATAGTATAATGGAAGCTCACAAGAAGAACTACAGCAATAATAAATATGTCCTTGCTATTGTTTACCACTACGATACAAATAGGTGATTATAATACATGTTTTACAGGCCCCGTGAAGATCATTGTTGAGAAAAAGCCTTCACCAACCCGCGCTTGTCGTAAGATGCGACTATGCTTGTCGAATGAGGCGACTAACGGTATCGGGCGGCCAGGCGCGCTGACTTGGTTGATGAATATCATCGTATACCAACTGCTAAGGACCCGTGAAGATCCGGGGTAGAATAGGTCTTCAGCAACCTATGCTTGCCGTAAAAGGCAACGATGCTTGTCGTAAAAGGCGACTAACGGGATCGGGTGGTCAGGTTCGCTGACTTGGTTGATGCATGTCATCGATCCCAATTGCGTGGATCGATGTTCAATCACTGGATTGTCTTGTCCAGACTCGATTATTTACAGACCGCCGTCATATAGCTGGAATATAGCCAAGTGCGGCGTAAAACAACAAACCAACCAACCAACCAATTGCTAAGATCGATGCTCACGATGCCAATCACTGCATTGTCTGGTCCGCACGTGATTATGTACAGACCGCCGTCATATAGCTAGAATGTTTCTGAATGTGGCGTTAACCTACAAACAAACCTGTTGCTCAGTCATATACGTCACGTTACTTAATGGATACTTGTTATGGATGCACACGTATTGCTTTTGAGTTCGGTGGTGTATTTATTGAGGCGTTCTAGTCCTGGAAAAGATTGTGGTTTGACTTTACATAGGTAACATTGATAAGCGCATGGTTTTACGTTCGTGTTAGCACCATTTGTTCCTCTACCTACATGCGACCTAAGCGCATCCGGGTAGTTGGGTAGCGTAAATTCCTTTGACCTTTTTGTCACTCGTGCCTTTATGTATAATGAATCGCATTGAATAGGCCATGTATGGCATTTAAAAACATTGTCATTAAAGTGAGTGAGTGAGTATGGTTTTACGCCACTTTTAGCAATATTCGAGCAATATCATTGAGGTGACATCAGAAATTGTCTCAACACATTGTACCCATGTTATCATTAGAATGATATTTACCTCCCAGCTGTACATGCGTGAATGGACCGCCTCCGTGGTCTAGTGGTAGAGCGTCCGCCCGGAGAGCGGAAGGTCCGGGGTTCGATCCCCGGCCGCGTCATACCAAAAGACGTTAAAAGATGGTACTTGTTGTTACCCTGTCTGGCGCTCGGAATTAAGGGGCTAAAACAAGGACTGGTCGGCTCGGAGCCAGTACACTTTGTCTGAGTGGGGTATTCATGTTAAACCACGGCATGGTATCTCAATGAGCTAGCACTATAAATCGGCATCAGTCCGGACTAGTACAAGCAGCCACACAAACACACACACGTACATGCACGTCGCTATATAAGTGCAATAATCTTGGACGCGACGTTAAACCCCATTTCACCTCACCTCACCTCACCTGACATGCGTGAATGTCAGGTCAACACAAGGATTGAGTTGCCTCCCCATGAGCACTGATACAAGGTCTGGTCAACAAGTTCTGAGCCGGACGAACTATCAACTATGTCCATAACAAAGTGAACCAGTCAATGTTGTATACATGTATATGGTGACAGCCAGTTAAACGTGATAGGGGTCCAAGTCATAGACATGGAAAAGAACGAGTACCAAGTTTTTGACTTCAGAAGAAAGTGCTCACCAAGAAATTCATGACCGCATGTCACAAGTGTAATGGGATAAGTGCCCACTGTTTAACGTTGGGTAGCTTTGTTTAATGCTTGGAGAACACTCCTGGAAGATGACCCTAGGTCTGGACGTCCCTCAACTTCCATCAATGAAGGTTCAATCTAGGAGAAAACTTATACTGTCTGATAGACGTAACTTGAGGAAGACACAGGTCTAAGCCATGGTTCGATGGTGATGTATTTTGTACGGTTGTGTGTCGCCGACTGTTTTCAGCCTAGTAACGTTTTGATAATGTTTGTAATTGTTTGGTCAAATTCAATTTCCAAATGTGTACTGACTATTGCCCGGCAGTTTACCATATGGCGTAAACTAACCTCCGCCCCCTCACTCACGCATCCTGTTGTGTTTGTCTGTTTGAAGGTATCGGCGGGAGTCGTGTAACGTTCGACAGCTTTGGGGACGGCGTTGGACGATACGACATCTACCAGTATCAGAAGATGTCAAGCAACGACTATGACTACGTTCAAATAGGAGAGTGGGATACAAGGTGAGGGGAATACTGATACTGTATCGGTACACACGTGCATTGTGTCACACCATTCTTGCCCTTCATAGTTTTGTATTACCTTTACGGGGTCATCCTCGTTTATCCAGTGTATTATATCTCAATACTATTATGATAAATACCCCGAACCCATACGCCATACGAAGTGACGGCACTATCTCCATTTCTTATATCACGCTTCTTTCTTGTTTCTTGACTTGAATTCAATAAACATTCACAAGGACTCTACATTCAAACTTGCGGTCTCGTACGAGTGAGCCCTCCATATATAATTGTTAAATCAGACGTTTGTTCAGATGGGGTGGGGTGTCCGTGTTTCGTAGTCGAGGTACGTAGTGGTGCTACCGTCGCTTCTTTGCATCGTGAAAGCGTAATTTGATTGGACGGTTATCAGTCGTGTCTTTAGAACTGAACTCAAATCGAAGCTGGCGTGGCGCAGGGATCAGGGGTATTTATCATAATAGATTGGAGAATGGCATCCCTCGTTGTGCCAGCATCCGTTAGTACTTGCAACGAATATTGGATTAAGACTCTGAGTTTGTCAGCAACATGTTCGTGATCGTTGGTGCGAGTGTTACCGGAAAAGGTATGACATGCTTATCCTCTCGGGATTACATGGCGCCATCACTGATTTTAAGTGATCCATTCATATAATTTTCATTGCTAATTTACGCCAAGTAGACTATGCTCCAGATTATTAAGGTGCATGAAGGATGCTTTAAATCGTGAACATACCACAGTCATAAAGCTTTTATGCTCGTGACATTTACGTCGAACTTGGTTAATTTGTATAGATTACATATTCGTGTACCTGAGCTCGCGATGGATAAGACTGTTACAATAGATAGTGCTACTTTCTCTTCGTTGGCACTGGCTTAGGGGAAAATATTTAGCGTTTGGAATCAGGTGAGGTGAAATGGGGTTTAACGTCGCGTTAAAAACGTTATGGCACATATATCGCGACGTACGTGTACGTGTGTGGCACATACTGACTCCGAGCCGACCAGTCCTTGTTTCATCCCCTTAATGCTGAGAAATAGGCATCGTAACAACATGTACCATCTGTTGACGTCTTTTGGCATGACGAGGCCACCGACTTTCCGCTCTCCGGGCAGACGTTCCATCCTCTGGAAAACGATCAAAATCCAATTATAATTAGCGTGCAAAACCTATTAAAATAACATAAACTAATTATTAATGGTTACGTTGTGTTTACCAAACAAATATCATCATGTTTAATATTAATCAATCTATGTTTCAGTCTGAAGATTAACAAGAGCGCACTGCTTTGGAGATTCAAATCTCGTGAAATCCCGGTGTCCATCTGTAGCGAGCCATGCGAACAAGGGGAGGCAACAAAGACTAGCGGACCGTGCTGCTGGGTCTGCATCGCCTGCAACGACAACGAATACCTGAAAGACGAGAGCACATGCGAGTCATGCCCCGAAGGCTCACGACCGAACCCAAATAAAACTGAATGCGCACGCTTACCGGAACTACACCTTGACCCCGCAAGTCTGTGGTTCATACTTCCTGTTGTGTTTTCCTGTTTGGGGATTCTCTGCACGTTTGGTGTGATGATAATATTCGTCATTTTCAACACAACGCCTATCATCATGGCGTCGGGCAGGGAGCTATGCTATCTCCTTCTGCTGGGGATAATTATGTCCTATGGAACATCACTCGTCATGCTAGCAAAGCCCACTCTTGTCCTCTGCGCGTTACGGAGACTTGGGCTAGGAGTCTCTCTGAGTTTCATATACGCTGCACTTGTAACAAAGACCAACCGAATATATCGTATCTTCAGCACAGGTATCAAGGCCATGGTGAAACGACCCAGCTATACGAGTCCCAAGTCACAGATACTGATATGCATCTGTCTAGTGTCAGTTCAGGTGATCGGAGGACTGACATGGCTTGGCTTTGAGAAGCCATCAGTATCCAAAATAACTTACCAGAAAGACTTCCTCATTCTGAAGTGTAGTGCTAGTCAGATAGCAACTATCATCTCTTTGTTTTACAACATTTTTCTTATTGTGCTTTGTACTGTGTATGCTTTTAAAACAAGAAAGATTCCACAGAACTTCAACGAAGCCAAGTACATAGCCTTCACCATGTACAGTACTTGCATTGTGTGGCTGGCCTTTATTCCTATATACTTTGGAGCCAATCACGATTTTAAAGTAAGTTTGTTTGTTTGTAATTAAGATACGATGACATGCATTTACGTTATCCTGACAATGTAGATTTATCAAATTATGGCTTTCAAACATTTCAGTGTGACGTTTTATAACTTGAACTGACCTGTCAGCTTTGCGAATAGCTCGAATGCACATGCGTTATGTCGGATGTAATTATACTTGAATTACACTGTAGACATCTTCCCGAGGCAAGAGAGTTAACTGACAGCACTCCTAAAAAGTAAAGGGTAGGCAGGTTGAATTTGAATAGTTTTTTTTATATTTCCAATTCACTGCTACCAAAATCACAATTGTACCGAGAGGCCCATCAATGGTTTCCAATGTCATGATCACGTATAACAGCTAGACGTATTGACGTCCTTGTCATCCTGTCACCCAAGAAATTTGTAGGATCGGTGTTGAAAGACAACATTTAAAAAAGCTGACCTGATAATAAATAGTTAATATGGTTTACTTTGAAGCACCATCAAGTCAAATGCACCCTAATCGTTCAGTCCTGTAACATTTCAAATATTTGGATCTACATTTGATGAAAACCTATTTGTTTTTTGTTTTTTCTAGATCGAGGTGACATCGCTGTGTATGGGTGTCAGCATCAGTGCAACTGTAGCCCTATTCTGCCTGTTCGCTCCCAAGGTGTACGTCGTCTTGTGCCAGCCTCACAAAAACGTTCGCCAAGCCACATCTACTTCCATTCAAAGTGCTGCAAATAATAAAACCAACAGGGCGTTCTATGGTGGCCCCACGCCAGTCACTGCCAGCACTGCCCAGAACGGCAGTATCCATAAGGACATTCAACATGTGGAGAACAATGTGTTTTCAGACAGCCTAGAGGAGACATCGTCTTGTGACGAGGGTGTGGCCATGCAGGCGCCATCTAGCGGTGCTTCGTGAACCGGGATGGTCATCAGAGTGTGTTGAAGGAATGCATTGTGTGTGAAGGAGACGTGTGCGTCGGAAAAGTGCTGACTAGATATATTTTATTGTCTTTGAATTTGAATTTTTTATATCTACACATGCTCATTATAACAGTGCCATAATTGTTTCAAAGATCTCGTGTACCATGTATTATTCCACAAAGAGGACGAAACCATATTTCGTGTTGGCGTGATGATGTTTATAATGTCATGTACCATGCCACGCCATATCTAATTAAGTACGAACTGGTTCTTACCCTTCGCGAACTGTGTACAGACTGTACCTTGACCAACAACGACGAGGAGAGGATGCAGAGGGGGATGCAAAGGATATATTGTTACTGTTGTGTATCCTATTTCATTTCAAATGATTGTAAATCCTGTTCATGAACATGATATCTAAAATATGACCCCTTCCTTTTCAAATAGGGATTACTGCTGTACATACGTGATTTAACTGAGTTTCCTAATTTGAAAAGGCGTTTTGGTATCATGTCTATGAATATGATTGACATGTCATTTGGATAGTACATTCATATCATGCAGCATTGTACATATCCATTTTTTAAAACCCCTTTTCAACAGGTTCCCTGTAAAGAAAGCTTAATTTGAATGAAATATATTCTTCCGTGTATCAAGTTAGAGATATTTCACGTTATACGTGGCGTTGCATTTCATTACATGTTTGTGCTGTTTTGTTTTGTATTGATTTCACAAAATTTATGTTTTCGTGTTATTCGTTGCTAAGCAGCACTTCTACAATTTCTGCTTCGCTCAACGAACAGGGCGGTGAAGGGGAGGGCGCCCGAATGATCGCAATAAACAGTTCAAAGGCCATGATGAGCTTCTGTTTTATGTTCGTTTGAGTAAGGGGGAAAACAATGAGTTTGTGTTCAACAGGCTATACTACAAAATGAGTGGTGAGTGTACAGGCCTGTAGTACACAGTCACACAATGAGTGGTGAGTGTACAGGCCTGTAGTACACAGTCACACAATGAGTGGTGAGTGTACAGGCCTGTGGTACACAGTCACACAATGAGTGGTGAGTGTGCAGGCCTGTCGTACACAGCCATACGATGAGTGGTGAGTGTAGAGGGCTGTAGTACACAGTCACACAATGAGAGGTGAGTGTACGGGCCTGTGGTACACAGTCACACAATGAGTGGTGAGTGTACTGGCCTTTCGTACACAGTCACACAATGAGAGGTGAGTGTACAGGCCTGTGGTACACAGTCACACAATGAGTGGTGAGTGTACCGGCCTCTAGTACACAGTCATACAATGAGAGGTGAGTGTACAGGTCTGTGGTACACAGTCATACAATGAGAGGTGAGTGTACCGGCCTGTAGTACACAGTCACACAATGAGAGGTGAGTGTACTGGCCTGTGGTACACAGTCACACAATGAGTGGTGAGTGTACCGGCCTCTAGTACACAGTCATACAATGAGAGGTGAGTGTACAGGTCTGTGGTACACAGTCATACAATGAGAGGTGAGTGTACCGGCCTGTAGTACACAGTCACACAATGAGAGGTGAGTGTACTGGCCTGTGGTACACAGTCACACAATGAGTGGTGAGTGTACCGGCCTCTAGTACACAGTCATACAATGAGAGGCGAGTGTACAGGCCTGTAGTACACAGTCACACAATGAGTGGCGAGTGTACAGGCCTCTAGTACACAGTCACACAATGAGTGTTGAGTGTACAGGCATGTAGTACACAGTCACACAATGAGTGGTGAGTGTACAGGCCTTTAGTACACAGTCACACAATGAGTGGTGAGTGTACAGGCCTGTAGTACACAGTCACACAATGAGTGGTGAGTGTACAGGCCTCTAGTACACAATCACACAATGAGTGGTGAGTGTACAGGCCTGTAGTACACAGTCACACAATGAATGGTGAGTGTACAGGCCCGTAGTACACAGTCACACAATGAGTGGTGAGTGTACGGGCCTCTAGTACACAGTCTAACAATGAGTGGTGAGTGTACAGGGCTGTAGTACACAGTCACACAATGAGTGGTGAGTGTACAGGCCTGTAGTACACAGTCACACAATGGGTTGTGAATGTACAGGCCTGTAGTACACAGTCACACAATGAGTGGTGAGTGTACAGGCCTGTAGTACACAGTCACACAATGAGTGGTGAGTGTACAGGCCTCCAGTACACAGTCACACAATGAGTGGTGAGTGTACAGGCCTGTAGTACACAGTCACACGATGAATGGTGAGTGTACCGGCCTGTAGTACACAGTCATACAATGAGTGGTGAGTGTACTGGCCTGTAGTACACAGTCAAACAATGAGTGGTGAGTGTACAGGCCTCTCGTACACAGTCATACCATGAGTGTTGAGTGTACAGGCCTCTAGTACACAGTCATACAATGAGTGGTGAGTGTGCAGGCCTGTCGTACACAGTCATACAATGAGTGGTGAGTGTACAGGCCTGTCGTACACAGTCATACAATGAGTGGTGAGTGTACTGGCCTGTCGTACACAGTCATACAATAAGTGGTGAGTGTACAGGCCTCAAGTACACAGTCACACAATGAGTGGTGAGTGTACATACCTCAAGTTCACAGTCATACAATAAATGGTGAGTGTACAGGTCTCTAGTACACAGTCACACAATGAATTGAGAATACAGGCCACTAGTACACAGTCATACAATGAATTGAGTGTACAGGCCTGTAGTACACAGTCATACAATGAATTGAGTGTACAAGCCTCTAGTACACAGTCATACAATGAGTGGTGAGTGTACTGGCCTCTAGTACACAGTCATACAATGAGCGGTGAGTGTACTGGCCTGTCGTACACAGTCATACAATGAGTGGTGAGTGTACAGGCCTCAAGTACACAGTCATACAATGAGTGGTGAGTGTACATGCCTCAAGTTCATAGTCATACAATAAATGGTGAGTGTACAGGTCTCTAGTACACAGTCACACAATGAATTGAGAATACAGGCCACTAGTACACAGTCATACAATGAATTGAGTGTACAGGCCTTTAGGACACAGTCATACAATGAGTGGTGAGTGTACAGGCCTCTAGGACACAGTCATACAATGAATTGAGTGTACAGGCCTCTTGTACAATGAGTGTTGAGTGAACTGACCTGCCGTACACAGCCATACAATGAATTGAGTGTACAGGCCTTTAGGACACAGTCATACGATGAGTTGTGAGTGTACAGGCCTGTAGTACACAGTCACACGATGAATTGAGTGTACAGGCCTGTAGTACACAGTCACACAATGAGTGGTGAGTGTACAGGCCTGTAGTACACAGTCACACAATGAGTGTTGAGTGTACAGGCCTCTAGTACACAGTCATACAATGAGTGGTGAATGTACAGGCCTCTAGTACACAGTCACATAATGAATGGTGAGTGTACAGGCCTCTAGTACACAGTCATACAATGAGTGGTGAGTGTACAGGCCTCTAGTACACAGTCACAAAATGAGTGGTGAGTGTACAGGCCTCTAGTACACAGTCACACAATGAATGGTGAGTGTACAGGCCTGTGGTACACAGTCACACAATGAGTGGTGAGTGTGCAGGCCTGTCGTACACAGCCATACGATGAGTGGTGAGTGTACAGGGCTGTAGTACACAGTCACACAATGAGTGGTGAGTGTACAGGCCTGTAGTACACAGTCATGCATTGAGTGGTGAATGTAGAAGCTTATAGTACACAGTCACACAATGACTATTTAGTATAAATGCCTATTGTCCACAGTCACACAGTGAATTCATTGAGAGTGAACACGCCTTTGGCTTAACGTGAAGAAATTACTTCTGAGTCGATGATGTGCTTGTGTGCTTAGAGTTGTCATTATATAACGGGAAGTGAATAGAGCGATGGCAATTAGTCATGGCATATTTCAGTATATAACATTAGAACATCAGTTGAAAATCCTATTAGCTGAGTATTCTTACGTTTTTATCAGGACAAGGAAGATATTTATGAGAAGACATTTGTGTCGCAGTTGAATGAGACTTGATAAAATAATTCTTTCCCATACCGGAATTTCACCGGTCCTTAAAGGGGCACCGTTCTCTGACAATTCATCGGCACTGGTTGTTGTCTTTGTTATTGGTTTTTCCCCCGTGGATACCTGGATGATATCCCAGAAATCTTGACTAGTTCGCAACCTTTGCGGCGCCAAAACCTAAGCGCATTTGTAGCTTTAATTGTTAGAATAAGGGCGGATCGTCACATTGATCAACAGACTGAAATACAGTTTTGTAGGTATCGTAGGTAGCAGTGGTAATGGTGACAAAGTTGTGATAAGTCACTTGCTTGGAATTGTGCTATTTTCGTTTACACTGATTTCACTTCTAACACAAACAAAATATTTCACCTGAACATTGCTTATTTTATCGTGTGTACCATGTTATGGTCAATGTGTAAAATTACAACAATTTTCACTGAGGCAGTTTATTTCATGCATACATATTCAGTTATTTTACAAACTGAATGAAAAAACTGTCCATTGATGTTATTACGATAACGAATTAAAAACATTTTGTTGTTTAATTTCATCATTAAATTACTGAAAATAATCGGAAAAAAGTGAAATGAAAGTCCTTCTACATTTCTATATGTTTGGGTTTCTAATCGTAGCATAATTAGCCTATTGTAATGTTGTCAAACCCTTTTGAACGTCTTCATAACTTTTAGTCAATCTGTTAAATGAATGGAAAAAGTTTTCAGTCAATTTGTAAAATGACTGAAATGTTTGGGCATTTCATAAATTGGCTGAGTGAAAAACACATGTTACACTTTGACAGTAACATATACACGCCTACAAACGAAAAGGCTTGTGATAACAACGACTGGGTGTTGCCTGTCTCGCAACGAAGAACCTCCAAGCAAAAACGTAGATGAACAAGATTTTCAATGATTCTGTTCAAAGCGACAGCGAATTAATGAAAACAAATGCAAATATCGTAATTAAAACTGATCAAAGTTATGTGTATACAATTAGGCAGCTACCTTGTTCGAGGAATGTATCTGTAAATATCCACATAAGGCAAAGTTCACACAGTGCCGATTATGGGTCCCATTTGAGATCAGACAGCGCTACGACACGAAAAGTGAAAAAGTCGGATTACTACGCTCAATGATCTGGAATGTCCTATCATTTTCTGAACGCAGTCGTATACGTTCGTAACAGAGTCCTACGGATCTGGAAAGGTCCAGAGAGGTCGGCCACGCACTCCAGACAGTATGGTGCGTCCCGTAACATTCGGGAAACTCAGCCGATTATCAGTCGGAATGCAATCGTGACTATGTCGTGAGAGATTCTGCTGTATCGGATCAAAATCGTAACAATGTCCTGTGTTGTCTGGACGATGTCCTGTGGACGGGGACGCTGTCGTGATGAGGTGAGGTGAGGTGAGGTGAGGTGAGGTGAAATTGGGTTTAACGTCGCGTCCAAGATTATTGCACTTATATATAGCGACGTGCATGCACGTGTATGTGTGTGTGTGGCTGCTTGTACTAGTCCGGACTGATGCCGATTTATAGTGCTAGCTCACTGAGATACCATGCCGCAGTTTAACATGAATACCCCACTCAGACACAGTATACTGACTCCGAGCCGACCAGTCCTTGTTTTAGCCCCTTAATGCCGAGCGCCAGACAGGATAACAACAAGTACAATCTTTTAACGTCTTTTTGTATGACGCGGCCCGGGATCGAACCCTGGACCTTCCGCTCTCCGGGCGGACGCTCTACCACAAGGCCACGGAGGCGGTCCTGTCGTGATGAACGGGCATGAATTGTTCATTGCCGTTTCTTGTCGATTGGG